GTGTTTAAACCTGGCCTGGGATTCCCCAAATCCCAGCCTTTCCTGGCCCAGCAGCAGCTCCTCCCTGCTGCCATCATTTACTGCTGTGGTTTTATCTCTCCCACTTACGTGGAATCAGTGTCCTTTTCTTTCTTGCGTATGCCAAAGGCCTTCCTGGTACGTTTTTTCAATCCTGGGGAGGACGGGAAGAGCACAAAGAAAAAGAAAATATTAAAATAACGCTTTGAATAAATCCTACTAAAGGTTCCTTGCTGGCTGCAGTCCTTAAATGAGGTGAGGAAAAGGAAGAGCCAAAGCCCAGGGATCACAGGATTGAGGAGCTGCCACAAGGTTTTGGGGACTTTTGTTTCTGCCATTGATTTGTTCATTTAACGTTTATTAATTTGATCTCAGCGTGTGTGACTGAGTTATTTCCCAGTTAGCACTGAATAGTTACCACTTCCCAGTTAGTATTTCCCAGTTATTACTTCTTTCCCGCTTAATATTCCAGCCCCAAACCCCAAATCCACACCATAACTTCCATTTTCAGTTGGGGTTAACCTCACCAAACCCTAAATCCACACCATAACTTCAATTTTTAGTCAAGGTAAAAAGCCCAAAATCCACACCACAAATTCCATTTTCAGTCATGATAAACCTTACCAAATCCTAAATCCACACCAKAAATTCCATTTTCAGTCAGGGTAAAAAGCCCTAAATCCACACCTTAAATTTGATTTTCAGTCAGGGTAAACCACCCCAAGCCCCAAATCCACACCACAAATTCCATTTTAATTCAAGACAAACCTCACCAAACCCCAAATCCACACCATAAATTCCATTTTTGGTCAGGTTAAATCTCACCAAACCCTAAACCCACACCCTAAATTCAATTTTCAGTCAAGGTGAACCATCCCAAACCCACACCATAAATTCCATTTTCAGTCAGGATAAACCTCACCAAACCCCAAATCCACACCATAAATGTGATTTGTAGTCACTTTTTAGTCACCAAACCCTAAATCCACACCCTAAATTCAATTTTTGGTCAAGGTGAACCACCCCAACCCCCTCTGGCTCTGCCATCCAGGAGATTCCCCCTCTTGACCGCAGCCTGGACACCCCAGGGACATTTTGACATAAAAATGGTGCTTTTACCCCTTTACAAACCCCAAAATCCTCAATTTCTTCACCTCTGCAGCAGAAAAGCTGAGTCCYGGTGRKCACCCRGCTGCAGCCAGCSCTGCTTTGGATTTATTTTTTTWATTTTTCCCRATTTTTGGTTAATTMRGTGAACAAACTCCTCCCTGCCACCGCCAAGGCTGTCCCTGTCCCCGGCCCTGCAGGGGAACCTGAGCTCTCCCTGATCCCATTAATATTTCAGCCTCMCTGGTTTCCATCCCAATCCCGGATCCTGTTCGGGGTGGAGATCCCGGAGCAGCACCGGGGCCGGTCCTGCATGGATCCATCGGGAAATGGGGAATTTTGCTCGCCCTGAGCAGGATTTGGGTCACTGGGACACACCACAGGGCTGACAGGGCATCCCAAACCCCTTCCCTGCTC